TCATGAGGCCTGTGTCATTTTTAGGTCAACGTGTCTTGTTACAGGTACCACGATTTACTGATGCTACTGCTGTTTTTTCATGCAATTGTTTTATGTCTCTATTTTTGGTTTTATCATGTGCTTTTTCTACATTCCACTTCTTAAAACGTTAAAGAGAAGGTTGATATTATTTTAAAATATGAATAAATAAAGTAACACTCCTATTCTTCCAAGCCTTAAGCAGATAAGAAGTCCTCTTGATTTTTAATAAAATACTCACATGATCTATATAAATGTAATTCAGGTATTACCAGAATTTCAGGGAGTAGTCTGTGTTTTACTCTGCATAAAATACAATCGATTCATCATTCAGTTGTTTTAGGGAAGTTAGAAGAGGTTAGTTAATACACAGAAATTCCCACAGATTGTCAGTTTGTATGATAAGCAAAGAGTTTCAATGTGTGCCTTTTCTCATTCTCATTCTGGTGGCACAAGGTTTTGGTTTTTTTTTCAAATTTCTGAATTTCCCCTATCATCCAGCTCTTAAAATTGTGAGAATCTTACAGAGAGGGGGAGATGCTGTCCCGTTTTTGCATGGACTTGCAGAGGGTTTAGAAAGGGTAGAAATAGTTGACTATTTATGCTTGGATGTTTCTCTGAGATGCAAACCATCTAGTACAGGGGTGTCAAACTGCCGGCCCACGGGCCAGATGCATCATGCCAAAGCCGCGCCCACCCCATTGCCGGCAATGGAAAAAAAGTCACGATATATCGCGATACATCTTGCGAGATTGACAACCCTGATCTAGTACCATGAATGGCTAGCCCACAATTCAAGTTAGTTGTGTGACTCACCACGGGCAACATCTTCTCCCTCTCCACCCTTCCCTGGGAAAATGGGTGAGATAAATGAATCTGGGTATCCCTAGAAAAAGGCAGGTCTGATATCCTGAGTCTTTTGTAACTAACATTCAACCTTGGGCCAACTTTGTGATTCTTCTCTTGCAGTAATAATATCTTGTGCATGTCTAGGACTGTGCGTAAGTACAAGTTCTGGTCCTTCATTGTGTGCAGGTAGTCCTTGACTTAACGACCACCGTTGAGCCCCAAATTTTTGTTGCTAAGTGAAACATTTATTAAGTGACTTTTGCCCCATTTTACGACTGTGCTTGTCACTGCAGTTGTGAACTTAGTATCATGGCTGTTAAGCAAATCTGGCTTCCCCATTGACTTTGCTTGTCAGAAGGTCCCAAAAGGTGATCACCTGACCCCGGGACATGGCAACCGTCATAAATATAAACCAGTTGCCAAGCATCTGAATTTTGATCACGAGGCCATGGGGATGCTGGAATGGTTGTAAGTGTGAAAAGCGGTCATAAGTCAGTTTTTTCAGTGGTGATGTAACTTCAGACAGTCACTAAATGAACTGTTGTAAGTTGGGGACTACCTGTATTGGTGTGTCCATGGGTGCGTGTAAGGCAACTTGGCTGTACAATATTATTATTATTCCATGTCGTTTAACTTGGCATTCCCTCTTTTTTTTTCTCCTCCCCCTTTATCCCATTTCTTCTTCAGTATTTTCACCACCCAGCAGTCAGGATTCTGGCTTGGTTTCCCTTTCCAGCAGTTCTCCCATCAGCAATGAAAGTACCAAGGCTGTCCTGGAGTGCGAGTCTGCCTCTGACTCCAGCACCTTTCCAGTCCATTCTGTTATGGAAGATGGCGAATAAGCATGGATGGGGGGAAAGAAAAAAAAGTCCTGCTGTGGATTTCCTTGAAGGAAGTGCCTTCGTGTTAATTTGGGTTTGCCTGTTTTGTGATGACAGATTCTGAAATAACTGTTGATAAAATGTTCACTTATTCCCTTTATGTTTGTTCTGCACTTTGTGATTTTCAGTCTTAGATAAGTATGAGAATAGCATAGCGTAAAGGGCTGCAAGAGCGTTACCCTTAAGTATATTGAAAGAGACTTATTAGTATTCTCTATTTTTTTTAAAGCCTCCATTTGGCTAATAAACAGTATAGAAATAAAATTAAAGATTATTTTGTAGATAAAATGAAATCAAAGTTCAGCATACACAAAAGGTACTTAGATTTGCTCATAATCGATGTATCCAGCACAAAAGGGTTTGATTAATTCTTTAATGGTGTTCAAAAGCAAGATGTTTCAAATATGAATAGATGAGAAATAGATAGCTTCCCATTGTGAAACAGAATTGCTCTTCCTTTTTTAAGTTGTACTGTATGAGTTAAGACTGAAATGTAAGATTCTTATGTTTTACAGATCCAGGGATCTTTTTTTCCTCTTTTGATGATATATAAAAATAGATAAAAGTTTAAGCAAGAATGGTATTTTTAATTAATGAATGTGATGGATTTTTCTTAGTTCTGTTTAATGACCAGATATAGCCTCTTGCTAGCATAAAATGTAAAAAAAAAAAAGTTTGTACAAGTTAACCTATTGGCTACAATGTTAGCTCCAAGTAAAAATGGCCTTTTAAAGTTATTATAGATTTTTCTTCAATATTCTGTTAAAAATACCTTAGCATGTACTTTCTCTTAGTTACAGAAACCAACCAGAAATAAAACTGCTCTTTAAAAGAATTCATTGTTCTCTATAGTTGCAGTCCTACTGAAATAAAAATGTTATTGATGACCAAATTTTCTTGTGTGCGCAGAGTTGGTAAGCTGTATTAAACAGGAAAAAAAGAAATTACTTGTATTTTCTTCACTCTGTGCTTTGAAAACATCTATTTGATTTCGCCCCCATCTGTTGTAATCAATAACCTGACCATCTTGTTTTTTATTAAATGCACTTACTCTTAATTTCATCCACCAGTGGTTTTAGAGAGAATAATGTGGAGTTACCTATATGGGTTTGACATTATAAATCACTTCTTGGGGCTGAATTGTATAGTGGTATCGATTGATCCTGATATATCACAGAAATTTACTGTCACTTCTGTTTTCAATTAAAGATACAATCAGTCAGATAATGACTTAATTGGATTTTACAGAAGATTGAGTTTTATTGCCCGGTGCTTTACGAGTTTAGTTAAGGAAGATCATTTTATCACACTTGTCAGCCTGAGACTGCAGTTGGGTGCCTTCTGCTGCAGCCTGCTGCTGTTGCCATTGTGACAGACACATAGTTGGAGCAGAGGGCAAGGAAAGAATCTTAAGGACGAGGCGGTTGAGCTTGGGCAGCTAACGGCCAACTGCAGCCAAGATGATGCCTCCCCCCCCCCCCCCCGTTTGCTTTCCTTCTAAATTGTTGAAATATGGAGCTGGGATTTCTTAGTGAAGCTCACAGGAGCTCAGTTGTCTCTTTGCTCTCTCCATCATCCAAGGAGAGCATCATGCAACAATGGAGGAGAGGTGGATGTTTGCTGTACGATAGAATGCCATTATGCCAGTCAACCTTGACAAGGGTAAGATGAATTTAAAAGCATCCTCATCTCCCTGGCACTGCACAAGAGTCAGGTAACATACTGTATCAAGTTTCACTTTCAGGTCTGCTCTTTTAATACACTACCAAAAGTTGTCCGGCTGTATAAGTGATCTAAGGCCACTTGGCTACGTTAGAAAACAAATTAAATTTGAATTATTAGAAAAAATAGATAGCATAAACTTACCAGCAAATAAAGCTGGCGTGGAATCCTTCCACTCTTTCCTCCAAATTATATATTGCACAGGAGGACTGTGTTAGTTCAAAAATCAGAATTAAGTCCTTACAGCTCACTTAGCTACTGCATGTATCTGATTAAGTTCAGGAAAGCTTATTCATTTTAATAAAATTGGTTATTACAAAAAAAGATTTGGAGCAATTAAAAGATTCAGAGTAATTTACATAAACAAAACACCTGGATTTATATATATATATTCCAAGCTGCATGTGTACCATGAAATTCTGTCCAGTCTTATCAAACAATACAATTAATAACGTTGAAGTATTAAATATTTCACTCTTAATTCATTTAGCTAAATTTGCCCATCTTTATAGATCATAATAGCTTCCCAAATACAGTCTAGATATATATGGAAATAATTAAATTAAACTTCCCTTTGGAGATCAAGCTACTGCTCGCTTTCCAAAACATCAGTGGCCTCGTGTAACAATCAGGAAATATTCTTGAAGGACAAAAAGAAATATGAAAGTAGGGAGTAGGAATTCCCAGTACTTTGGTCCTTTTAATATGAGAAATTCAGATTTATCTTTCTACCTTTGGGAGGTGAGGCTGGGGGTGGGATGTAATCTATTGAGAAAAAATCTGCCTCAAACAAGAATTGGCAATTACCATTACTTCAATTTATCCCAATCTATGGATATAAGTACTGACACGATGAGCCAAAAAAGCAAATTATTTTCATGGATGTATCAAAAGCACCTCCACAATAACAACAGGTATTTTTATATACTCAAAGGGAAAAGCTGCAATTGCATACAGCAGATGCAGTTCCATTACCTTTTTAATATTGTGTCCTCACGTGTCTCTTAGATCATTTTCATATATGAATTTGAGAGTTGTACTTTTACTGTTATCACCATGTGTGAGTGTTTCTAACACAATCGTCTTTAAAATCTTTAACAAACGGTGGAAAGATTATTGCCCAATTCCAGAAGAGAAGCTAATATCTGCTAAACTCCAATGGTTACCCAGGGAAGGTTAAAAATATAGAGCTACCTATTTTGCTATGACATTGGAAAGCTGCAGAATAAAATGGAAAATGAAAGGAACATATAATTAGAAAAAACAAGGTGTAACAAAAAAATAAGAAATTCCAACTCAGATTCACAACATAACTTGAATACTTAAAAAAAGATGTTTACAGCCTTTATCAGTGCAATCCTAGGTACAATTTACCCTCACTGAAGCCAATGAGAAAAATCCCCATTTACATTTTTATAGGATTGAAATGTAAATTTCCATATTTGCATGTTGTACCTAACACACTTGCATTGACCCTTTGAGTAAATTCCTGAAGCTTACATCAGCATTTTTGTGCTTAAATAATTGTTTCCCCTTCAACCTTTTTTAAGGGTTGATTGAAAAGGCATATTACCTTAGGAGTGAGAGTTGCAATGTTAATTAAATGTGTACTAACGTAGCCTACATCATGGTGTCAGCATCATGCAGAATTGGTAGTATATAGACAATTCAATCAAGTGATTTTTTGTTTCTAATTAATATCCATAATTGAGGGCAAAGCCAGAGACATAAAACTGACAATTTTGAGTCTATCTCATGTGTGTGTGTGTGTACAACAAATGTTGATAACACAAGCAACCCTAACCGAAGGAGTGCTTGGTTTTGTTTTGCATTTTGCTAGTTTCAAAAGGACAGTAGAACCTTAAAAACCAAAGTAGCCAGATTTTAAATCTCTTTGCAGTTTATTATTCCCATGTACACCCTTTTTATTGGACTATTTTGGTGGGCACACAATATTTCATTAATAATTTACAACTTGAATCCCATTTTTACACCACTGCCTACATTAAAGCAGCATTAAGATTGTTTTTGGTCATATGCAAAGTGTAGCCTATTTACAAATGCTTGAAGAAATCAGGGCTATCTAATAAATAGTAATTTAATATAAGAATGTATAGGTTCTATGCTTATAGCGGATGTATTAAGGTGTTACACTATTTTATTAGGAGTGCCTTATATTTTTGTTTCTTCATTCATGTACTTGTGACACCATGATCTTATCCAGCTGAAACTAACTCACTTGTACAGCTATGAACCCAATCATATTAATTAAAGAAATTAATCATTGCCTATTTACTCCATTAATGGGCACAAATTTTGGCAAGAGGTTCTAGTAAAATAAAAAGCAGGTGCTTTTTAAGAGCATCTAAACCAATACATTTTAAGAGCATACAGGATGCCTAAAAAGCGTAACCCTTTACAACAGTGTGAGAATGAACTATTGAAAAAAAAAACCCCAGGTAACAATTTACCCTTGGAACTAGGTCCAAAAATGTACTTACATAAAGACATGTTTAGTGAAGTTAAACATGTGAAATTTGAACCAATTTAAGCAGGCTTTCCTCTTTAACTAGCAGGCAAAAAAAATAAATCCTCTCAATGCAAAATAAAAGAAATCTATTAAGAGGGCTTTCCTCAGCTCCATTCCTTAGATGGGTTAAATCTTACTGGTTTCATTTAACTTCGCGTTCCTAATTTCAGAATTAAGATCTAATTCTAACTGCATTTACTTAATAGTAGGTGAAATGAAAATTCTTCCAAGTGATTCACTGAAGTGTGGACGGTTTTCACTGCAAGGAAATGACATTCTTGCAAAGAAGCTACAAATATACACACAAAACATACTGCCAAAGCGTTGCTAATTTTTATTCCGAATGTACAGCATTATATGCGGGAGGGGGGGGGGAAATCACGCAAGAGAGAAAATGCTCTTGGGGAATTAGCCGACGGCGTCCTTTCCTAGCTGCAGATTAAAGTCTCCTTGTACCCAACGGCCTCATTCTCAGTCCGTATGGCCACGATCTCTGAAAATATACGGAACTTGTCGAGACGTCTGGAGGAACCGGAGCTGGGTTATACACTCCGGCCTTAATATTCAGGGCTGCTCCGCGCTTGAAAGGGCAGGCGAGCCGGGCCCGCTTCTTTCCGCGACGCTTCCTCGCTGCACCAACTCCAGCATCGCTGCAGGAGCCCCGCTGAACGACCCTTCCCGGAGAAGCGCCTCCGGGAGCCGAGAGGGC